GACGTGCTTTCGAACTGCTAGGTTGGCAGAAGCTGGGACAAGTCACGGGAGCTCACTCCATTATGCAGAGCTAGGGATTCAAACCGCCAAACCTCTGATCGACACATAGCCACAACAACGATGGCTTTGGTCATCTTTCTCAGGGTCCAGGATTGGGACCAGGAGAACATTCCAGGTCAAACTGGTTTTTCTCTTGTTTCTTACCTGTAGCGGCAGCTGATCCGCCAAGAAAGACCCCACTAAGTTCAGCGAGTCACCTCCGAGCCATCCCAGAAGGAAGTAAACAGACAGGGCTTGGTCCATGATGCCAGTTTTACAGGCCAGGTAGAACTGACTGCGTGGAAAAGTGGAGGAAGAAAGAATTAAAAAAGGAAGCATCAGAGTCACCCGTGGCCAGCAAATTATACCACTGATTGTGGGCTGGGGCCGATGGGAAAGGGAATCCGGGGTCCAATTATAAGGGAAGCGCATCCTTTATTGCAGTGTTTCTCAACCTTGGCAACTTGAAGATGTCCGGACTTCAACTCCCAGAATTCCCCAGCCAGCGAATGCTGGCTGGGGAATTTTGGGAGTTGAAGTCCGGACATCTTCAAGTTGTCAAGGTTGAGAAACACTGCTTTATTGTGTCATTCTGCATAGGATGAAGTTAAACCACCCAGAAGAGACTTTGGGGATGAAATTTCATTTATTTTTTTGCTGCAACTGATTGTGGCACGAACGGATTGTGTTTCAAGAGGTTGCTAGAGGTGATATTTTAAAAGCCGCCCACAGTCAGGTGTGGCTGGGCATCTGGCCATTTCCTTTGCCTGAATCCCAGGAAATGAGTCATCTCCCGTTTTGTCATCCCCAATGGGCAGCCACTTATTTGTCAGCCAAACCAGGGAGGGAGGGAGGAAGGAAAGATGGGAATAGAAGGAAGATAGATAGGAATGGGGATGGAAGGAAGGAAAGGGGAAAGGAAGGAAGGAGAGATGGGAATAGGGTGGGACGGAGGAAGGAGAGAGATGGGAATGGGGAGGGAGGAAGAGGAAGGAAAGAAAAAGATGGGAATGGGGAGGGAGGAAAGGAAGGAAGAGATAGGAATAGGGAGGGATGGGGAAAGGAGAGAGATGAGAATGGGGAGGGAGTGGGAGGAATGAAGGAAAGAAAGAAGAAAAGAGGGGAATGGGAAGAGAGGGAAGAGATGGGAACAGGAACGGAGGAAGGAAGGCAGAGGAAGGGAGGGAGGAATGAAGGAAGAAAAAAATGGGAATAGGGAGGAAGGAAGGGAAAGAGGAAGGAAAGATAGGGGAGGGAGGGAGATGAGAATGGGGAGGGAGGAAGTAAGGAAGGGAATGGGGACAGAAAGAGGAGAGAAAAGAAAGGAAGGAAGGAGAGATGGCAATGGGGTGGGAGGGAGGGAGGAGGGAAGGAAAGATGGGAATGGGGAGAGAAAGAGGAAAGGAAAGAAGAAGAGATGGGAATAGGGAGAGATGGAGGAAGGGGGAGGAGGGATGGAGGAAGGAATGAAAGAAGAAAAGATGGGAATAGGGAGGAAGGAAGGGAAAGAAGAAGGAAAGAAAGGAATGGGGATGGAGGGAGGGAGATGAGAATGGGGAGAGAAAGAGGAAAGGAAGGAAGGAGAGATGGGAATAGGGAGAGATGGAGGAAGGAGGAGGAGGGAGGAAGAAATGATAGAAGAAAAGATGGGAATGGGGGAAGGAAGGGAAAGAAGGAAATACAGAAATGGGGATGGAGGGAGGGAGATGAAAAGGGGAGGGAGGGAGGAAGGAAGGAAGAAAAGATAGGGATGGGGAGGGATGGAGGGAGGAAGGAGATGGGAATAGGGAGAGACAGAGGAAGGAGGAGGAGGGAGGGAGGGAGGAACGAAAGAAGAAAAGATGGGAATGGGGGGAAGGAAGGGAAAGAAGAAGGAAAGATAGGAATGGGGATGGAGGGAGGGAGATGAGAATGGGGAGGAAGGAAGGAGGGAGAGATGGGAATGGGGAGAGAAAGAGTAAAGGAAGGAAAGGAAGGAAGGAGAGATGGGAATAGGGAGACACGGAGGAAGGAGGAGGAGGGAGGAATGAAATAAGAAATGATGGGAATAGGGATGAAGGAAGGGAAAGAAGAAGGAAAGATAGGGTTGAGGATGAGAATGGGGAAGGAGAGAGGAGGGAAGGAAAGATGGGGATGGGGAGAGAAAGAGGAAAGGAAGGAAAGGAAGGAAGGAGAGATGGGAATAGGGAGAGACGGAGGAAGGGGGAGGAGGAAAGAGCCAGCCAACTGGCACCCCTAGCACAAAACTCCCCGCCTGCCCCTTCCTACTGGTCCCGGATGCAGGGTGAAGGTTCCCCGATCCTCGTTTACTTACGGGAAGGAAGCCCCAGCAAAGCAGGCGATGGAGACCAGGCCCAGCACCACGCTGGTGATGTCCCAGCCATCCTGAGCGCACTCGTGGAAGACGGACAGGATCCACTCCGAACCGTTGACGCAATCCGAGGCGTTCCCACTGGAAAAGCTGAACTTGTGAGGATGAGCAAACATGGCCGGCCTCAGGCAAGGGAATGAGCCACTGGGAGTCACTGGGAATGCAAAACAGGCCTTCCCATAGTGAACTGGGAACCTGTAAAGGAAGACGAGAGATGGGGGTCTCTGGGATTTGCCGACCCTCAGATCAAAATGTGGAATAGCAAAAAAACAAAAAAAAAAACAACCCCCAAAAGGGTGAAAATTGATCTTTTAAAAATGAAACACGCATCTTCCTTCCATTCTTTTCCCTGGGGTATTTCGGTCGCTCCTGGAACAGAACTTTACATGAAGAATAAAATAAAAACAACACTGGCCGCCACCTAAACTGAAGAAGTTCCCCAGCCTGGTAACGAGACGTCCGTAAACCAACCCATAAGCTCTGAGAACCAACCTTCGCCCTCCTCCTCCTCCTCCCCCCTTGCTACAGATATTCGCCACTATTGCAAAATAAACAATCTGGTCCCTTCTGTTAAAATTTAAGTCGTTTTGCAAACCGGTTGCGAATAAATATTGGGATTCCCAGTTTTCCTTCGGCTCCCATTCCAATATTTCAAAGACCAAGTGACTAATTGACGTCACCGGAAACCCCCATGTTCAGGGGCAGTATATCTGAGGCTAGTTTGAAAGACAGCTGTTACTTTTCACCATGGAGGTACAGTATATGGCAGAAGTGAGTAGTGGGTTTGAAGAGAGGGGGGGGCTCTAGATGCCCTCAGGGTGCCTTGCGAGGATTTTCAGCCAGGAAGGACCGGGGTTTAAAGACAGAGGGCCCCCCTCTAGATGACCTCGGGGTGCCTCTCAAAGAGCCTGCTTTTCGGCCAGGAACGAATGGGGTTTAATGAGAGAGGGGGCTACCTCTTTTTTTTTTGCCTTTAACATTTTATTTTATTTATGCAAACTTCACATCTTTGCAACACATTACACTTCTTTTACACATCTGTTGTGATTCTTTTATCTGTACATATAAGTTCTTGTATAACTATAACTTTAGATATACATGTGCATTTATATTATTTCATACATCTTTTTTCTTCATTCTATATACAACATTCTATATCAGTGTTTCTCAATCTTGGCAACTTGAAGATGTCTGGATTTCAACTCCCAGAATTCCCCAGCCAGCATTCGCTGGCTGGG